GATCTGGTTTAGTTTTACAAGCACCAAATCACCAGAGGCTGTCACTGCACAGTTGAATGCAAAGCTCCTCTACAAACACAGCACAAATGGCATATGCGGTCTGTGGTCCCTAGTGAACCCCTGCAGCCCCTGCATGTTTCTTCTGCCCATATCCCCGTTGGGTCCATGCACAGTTGGACAGAGCCCCAAATGTTATGTGTTGGTTTTTTTTTTTTTGCTTGTGGATCTTCTAAGGATTTCACACTATTTTCAGTGGTTATGGAAGTCACAAGCTATTGTTAAGACTCATTGGTTGGAAGACGGGTTATCCTTGGAGGAAGGAAATGGCGGTGATTAGCTTTCAGGTTCCACAAGCCCTCGGCAGACTTGTGTGGTTAAGGAGAAATGACAGCCAGGAAAAGATTGCCAGTAAATGAGCACATATTCTGCATTTCATGCCAGATGGTCACTCATAGGAGAGAGACCTTAGCTTTTGTGATAGCAGTAATGTACCTTTAAACCTTCTCTAGCGGCTTTGCTACAGTTTACTTGAGACACAGCAAGGAATTCAAGAGAAGACAGCTGGGTATTGGTTTCTATTCTGCCATTTTTTCTGGATAAGGCTCTAACTTGGGAATAACTTTCATGACCGTGATCTGGAGGTCTTGTGGGTTGGTAGCATAAAGGAAACTGTACACAGGACTAAAGCCCTATATCAACATGAATATAGTGGATATGGAAATGCAAAGCCCAGTCCACCTAAGGTAATGTCTTAATGTGGCTAAGAGAATTGGCTGCGGGGAATGGACCCCCATCTTCACTTTCAGAAGATGGGTCCAGTTTTCAGAAACAGAGAAGAACAAATCCAGCACTTGAATAGCTGTATCCCTGCTTACACATGCATATTCCTGACAGAGCCGACCTGAGTACTTTAAACATGGCATTTCGATTAGCTATGCAGGTGCTCCTCTGTGCAAATGAATAATGCTTTTTTCTTATCCTTTTTACAATGTCATTGAATATCTCCAATGAGAATGTGTTTGAAATTTCTGTTGTAAACTAGGAGAGTGGATAATCTGGCTCAAACCAAAAGCCATAAATCCAAAATAAAGTCCTCCAAACTTCAGAGAATTTACCTTCTGATCCTAGATTCAGCTCAGGTCAGAATTTTATTTCATGAAAACACCTTTGTTACATAAATTCTTCCATTGACTGAGAATCCTGGCTTGGGTTTTGAGGGATCAAATGTTGTGCAGATTGGGCTCACTGCTAATTTAAACACAACATCTAAAACCTAATTATCCAGATCATCATTAACGATAATAGCCTAGTGTGACCAGAAAATAATTAAGCATTCTGCATTCTCTTGTTGTTTTTAGCCTCTGCAAAAAGTGCTTGTCACGCATACTGACTCAGTGGGGAAGGTGTTCGTTGCTGATTTACCAGCAAATTCTTTTTCCTTGGTGGAAGGATAATGAAAGAAGCAGAAATCTGACAGCAGGAGCATCATGAAGTGATTTGGCAGACAGCTGTCCAGACAAAAATCTGGAGAGGGAGGGTGAGAGGAGGAGAGGAAAAGGTATTGAAATGCAATGGCAAATTCACAGGAGGAAAAAAAAAAAAAAGGCAGAAATAATTTCTTGTCTGAAGAGCTCAGCATGTTTTATTTTAAGGCTAAGAAACTGCACTGTGGACTTTATAATGTTTACAGCTCTCAGACAAAAGAGAAAGGCTTGACAGGACTACATCTGGAAGTACCCAGCACCCTGAGTGCTGCTTGAAAGCACGGGGAATGAGGATGCTCAGCCTTGCACATGTGCCTGCTGAAGCGGTTTGACATTCAGCAGTGGCGTGACTCCAGTTGCTACTGGAGCTACTCTGTACAGGTGACTGCCTCTGAAATTTGGTAGTCTCTTCTTCTGACATGGCACCAAAATGCACAGCTTTAATGCTTTGAAGTCCTTACATCTTCAGTCTTGAGTCTGCAATGTCTATCATTCTTGACAGGGTTTTTCTTTTAAAACAGGAGTCATGACTGGCTACCTTAACAAGATGAGCAGAAGGAGTGAATGGCTTAATTACACCTTTTCTAGGTAGTTTGAGATCTAGAGGAAAGCTCGAAAAGAGAGACTGAAGGAAGGCCAACCCAATCTGTGTCAAGGGAAAGTAATCAACTGAATTTTCTAGCTAGAAAATGCTCAATGACACATTGAATGATTTATGAATCCATTTCTTTATTTTTATGAAGAACTGTGTAGGAAAGATCTTATGTTTGAACAACTATTGGCAACTATAGGGAAGCTGTATAGAGTATAGAGTAATATTAGATATGACTATTGTTTCATCATCCCTCATAATTTTTGAAAATTGGGCAACATACATATATGCATACAGCTATATTGCCATTTTTCACATGTACTGAATGAGAAAGTTTCTTATCAGGACTATATATTTCCATGTGACAGCTGCTCCATACCCAAGCTTTTGGAATTTGAAGCACTGGTGTATATTATGTATATTCAGTGTGTACTGCATACAGTCTGCTGCCTCAGATACAGATTTAGTCTTACATCAGTGATCACCAGAGACTGGCTTCAAAGGGACAGATTGACAGATGTGCAAGAGGCCTCTGGTCATTTTAGGAGTGTGGTGTGCCTGCCTCAGGGTTTCTGGGAGGGAAGAAAATATCTGTACCATTTCCTCAGCTGTAACTACTTTTATGGATGTGCCTTTTAGGCTACTTCATGACCTTTGGACACACTTGAATTCAGGGTGGACTGAGAAACAGACTGACCAGAAACAACTAGACCAAAGGTACAGCAAGACCACTGCCACCAGTGGGATAGGGCAAGCATATGATGTTTCAAAATATTTTACCAGCCTTGAAATACTTGCAGCTCTAGGAATTGCTGAGACAGAGATGTATCTATACAGAATTTCCTGATTTTTTTTCTAGTCACTTCTTGAACTCATTTAGTTTTTAGCATCCACAACAATCTGCCATTTGCTGCTTTCACTTGATGTACCCTTTGTCTGACTGGAAGAGACAATGAATAATGATTCCCTTAACACACAGTTTGTGTTGCCCAAGGCTTTGTAGCTATCATTTCTCCTCTTCAGATGTCTCTTTTCCAGCCCTGGAACTTACTTGTTCTTTGCGCTCCAAGTGATCAGACCCACGTAACTGGTGAAGGATACATCCCTGCTGCGTTAGCTGGTCCACAGTGGGACAAAACCACTCCTAGTATGAAAGATGACTGAGGTTCTGCTCTGCAGAAACTATTGTCCTGTGGTATGGATAACCATTTGCCCACGTATTCCCTACTATGAATACACAGACAAGCCACACACTGGAACACAAAAAGGAATTTGTTGAAATGCTTCTTCTGTGCTCATGCATGTCTGATGGAAACTGGCCGTGCTCCCAGGCTGATGGGATTTAATACCTTGACTATAGCAGGAGCCAGTTCCTCAATGTAATTCTGACTGAAATGAGCATTGGATGAACCCTTGGCCTGTTTATGAAACAGGTAAATGAAGCTCCATGAGCTTTCTGTCACTGCTGGGATAGTCTGTAGTACAGAAGAACATTTTTCTCCTTTGACACTGATGCAGTAATTAGGGCCTGTACTTGGTCTGGAAAATCATATTGCTCATAGTAGTCCAGCACTGTCAGGGCTTTGTGCCTTTGGAAACCATTAGGAAATATTAGATGCAGGGTCTTAGCTACCTGAATCTGAGCTTAAGACACCGCTCACTTGTGGTTATGAGTAATGTGGACTGGCTTATTTAAATTAACCCAAAATAATGAGATATATGTAGATTTGGCAGCTTCAGTGAAGCTAGGGAGGCATTTTTGTTTGTGGATAGTGCACACTGGCAGTGGCGGGGAACTTTAGAACTTCTGAAGCTGTGCTGCCATAGGAGTACCTGGTCTGGAGAGGAGAAATACAGAATTTCTGCTAAAAAAAGAGGGCTTATATGTTCTTCGTGCTCATTTAATGGAAAAAAATGCCAAGGACTTAAAGTTTTATCATGAATTTATAAAAAATGGAATCAACATTATGTTTAGCCCCTTGCAACTGAAACAAAGCATGCAATAAAACTATAGTTGGAACATTTAACCCACCTGCAACTTTACACCTTTGCAAGCCATTAAATACTCTCCAACACCCTACTGAGACCGTATTTGGGACCAATATTGCACAACCAAAAGCTGCAGTTACAATGTGCCAGAAGGAGGGAGCAAGTTATACTGAGAGCATCTGTCTTCTGTGCTGGACTTTTGACAGTGCTTACACTGCACTCTGCCAGGCAACATTTCCTGGCAAAAACTGTCTTAGTATGAACTATATATGGAAACAAAAGGAAAGACAGCAAATTTAGAATCCATTCAGAAACTGTACTGCCTGCATGGGATATTTGAGACCTTGCTCACTGAGATCAGCAGAATAATTTTCATTGGCTTTGGTGTGCTTAATTAGACACTAAAAACTTGCAATTATTTGGTCAGGTGTAATTTAAGTTTCTGGCTAGTATGCCATTTTTATTGTATTTCAGCCTAGAAGTAAGATAAGGATTTCTTCTTTCATTTTAAATCTCCATTGTTTAAATGACAAATGCTATGTACATGCAGCATGGCAGGCATACATATATTCAGAAATATAGGTGGTAAAATTTATTATTGATGTGAAAGCAGAGATCTGGACTTAGACTTGTAAAAGTCTCATGAAATGCAAAGTTCAAAATAAATTCTAAGACTTTTGGAAACTTCAGATGCCGCCAGGATACACCATAACTAGAGGAAGTGGACAGCTGCCAGAGGTTTAAACTACAGCAAGTGTTTTAAAGAGTGAATCAGACTGATATAAATTCAGTAAAAATTATATGCTAGATTGACTCCTAGGGTAAAGTGATTAAGCTAAGACTTGCTTTATTGACAAACTTATGTAAGCAGTGGTTCTCTCACAGGAATTATTACAGATGAATGATTCTCACCTGATGGGGCTCCTGTGACTTACCTGTATGGAGACGCTGCTATAGGAACCGCCTATGACTCCTGCAATGAGTAATGGTAAATTCTCTTGAATGGCATATGAGCCATCAGGGCACATATACTCTGTTTCATCCACTTTAGTCAAAGATGCCCTGACGAACTCCAAAGACTGTTCTAAGGCATATGTATCCCTGGAACATGTGTCCAAGATGTGAACTCCAAGCTTAATTCCTGGCAGCAAGTAGTTGTCTCTGTTGATTTCATCAATGGCAAACAACATGGCCTCCAAGCGCTGGATGCCTCGGTCTTCATTGATTCTCCCACATTCTTCTATCCCAGTGCCTTTTTCGTTGATTGGGAATAAGCCACCTAAGACCAGGTCTCCTTCTATCTTAATTTCCTTCCTTACAAAGCTGTGGTCACTTAGAGAAAGGAAAACTCCTTTGGAAAATAAAGCTAGCGCAAGGACTTGGAGTCTGGTGAACATCTTCATTGGTCCTGTTTTAGCAGCTCTAAGAAACATTGGTGGGAGCAAAAGTGCTCTTCAGTCCTTCTGATCCATTCCCAAATTTGAAGCGCTGTCCCACAAGCCAGTGAAGAACAAGTCAACAAGTCTCTCCACTGGACCTCTAAAGAAGAGAGAGAAGAAATTAGAAAAGGCAAAAGGAGATGTGAACTGTTAAAAAACTTTTAACAATAAAACATTCAAGAGCAGTGTTAAGGGATTCCTGGATAGCATAGAAACTAAGAAATACATTTGTCGTGTTCTCATAGAGCACCTTATTCTATTTGCTTTATAACTGATTACAGACTAAACATCTACTATGACAGCTATGCACAAAGACTACAGATGTATGGGGCAATATATCTGATGTTGACCACCGCGCAACAATGGTTTACATTTTGCAAGGACAGAAACCACTTCTGACATTTTTCTCATACCATCCTCTCTTATTCCATCCTCTCTCTCTTCCGGACTTGGAGTCTTATGTATTCTCATTCACTGTGTCTCCAGCTGCTTCCAGCCTTCCCTTAATAAATTTTTCCTTTTTTTTTTTTTGTTGATTGCACTCTATTTACTATTCCTTCAGCTATAGCACTGTCACAGTGTTATTTCCTTGCTGTTAATTTTTGCCGACTTTGGCCTTCAGATCCAAAGTCTCTTGCTGAAGTCCACCTGCCCTTCCTTCCTTTACTGGCCTGTTCACCTGGTGCAGGCAATGAGAGGATGGGGAAAACCTCTTGGGACTTTACCTCTATTTTTGGGCTGTGACAAATGTTTGAAACACAGGAGAAGCCCTGTTTTACCAGGTGGAAACTGAAGGCTGTGTCTGTAATAGAAAAGCCATCAAGTCTATGTCATATCATTTAACTGTTAATGTGCTCCCTGGAATGGTTTTGACTCAGGTCAACTAGTGCTCTTCTAAACAGTGCCTGGGCATGATTCATGAACAAGCAGAGGCCAGAGATCATTCCCAATAAACAGTTTTGATGTGATCACAGTGTTTTGGCCATTTCATGCCTGTTGGCATCACCAACAGAGGATGGTCCGTGGTCCATTTAGTTATTAGCACTGCAGTTCTGCAAGGCACTTTACTAAGTGACCCACCAAGGGTAATTATTATGTGGAAGGCCTGGAAATTTAACCTGGCTCTCCATCAAATGCCTTAATCACAAAACTATCCCTCCTTAAGGCACGAAAGATTCGCTTGCAAGCAAATTAAGGTAAAAAAAAAAAGAGACATGAAAGAGAAAAAGAAGAGACATGACAAGGAGGACTCTCGTACTTGGTTCTTGCTTAGGGCATGAAAATGCTTATGGCTGGACTTGCTCTCTTTAATGTTAATCACAGTTCAGTGCTCAGATCAAAGGGAGAACACAACAGTGATGTATGTACTTAGGGTATGATTTTACTCTCACTAAGGTCAAGACAGTTTGCCAATGACCTTAAAAGGAGAAAAATCAAGCCTTAGAGTGAAGATCATGTTGTAACAATTTTGTAACTAAATATGCATACACAAAGTCTATTTATGCAACATAAATACATGATTTGTCCATAGACTCCTTGTCAATCTCTTCAAATATGACAAAGTGACTGCCTTGATCTCCAAATCCTCAGATAAATCAAGTGTAGTAATATTTAAATAGATCACTTTAATAATTTATTTCTGTACTTACATTTTCCTTAACAGAGTACATATTATTATTAGAGTTGTGGGGTTATTTATAATTTAGAAACACTTAACACAAAAAAATTGAAAAAAGCAACAATTAAGATTTACACTCAGTGATGAATGAGCATGCTTATTGCAAGGCAGTTGTTTATCCTGGTACAATTTCAATGTTGCTGTACCAAATTGTGTGAAAGGATAGCTTTTTATTCATATTTAGTCCAACATTGTTCTCTCATAAATCAGTAATGTGTCAGAGGCACTGTTAAAGGTCTGTCTCTGCTATCCTAGTAACGTGTGTAGTCTGAGCCGCAGGCTGTCTCAGCAGAATTTTCCATTCAGAAATAAGTGATATGTCAATGGAAAACAAGTTTCATCATCCCTCAGTCATCTATAAGTAAGCTAGTTTGCCGATCACTTGTGGTTTATTAACCAGGTCCAGAAAATGCATTTTCTGGTAATGTTAGGAAGAGTAATGAAGTAACTGCATTCAGCAGTACTTTCTGTGTCAGACTTAGTACTATAATTTACCAAATATTATTCAAGTGTATACAGGGCATATAAAATGGTGATACTATCCCATTGGAAATAATTATCAGACAAAAAGGTGGCATTTGTCACACAAATGGTTGTGTGGTTAATAATTCAGTTGAATCAACTTGCATTGTTCTCATCACTAATCCACTGTTTGGATAAAAACAGGACTTGGGAATTTTTTTTAATGCAATATCCACCCTATTTACTTCTGCTGCTTGTATCTCAGCTAATATTCATACATTTATCCTTACAACACTGGTAAAATATTTATATCCCCTGTTTTACACTTGAGGAAAAAGAGGCACAGAAAGATGAAATGAGATTCTCAGAAGAGTCGAAGTTCAGATTTTTATTTGCTTGGCACTCACAATCACTATCAAACTTTGAGAAGGTCTCTGCTTCCCTTTAGGAATTGAAGAACATGCTTTCAACTGTGCCCTGCACCCTCTGGTTCCCACTGAGGCACTGACTCTGAAAAACTTCCTAAGCCAGCTGGTCTTTCTTCTGAGCCTGTTCCTGAATGATTTACCTAAGGTCATCAGCACAGCCAAGAATCAAACTTTGATCTTTTCCAGTGCTCCTCTGATACCTTAATGATAAACCTCCCTTGTTTCCCATTGCTCCTTCTGACTTTTATGTGAGTCTTTTATAAGGTCATATTAAAAGCAGTCTGTTTTCAACAGCCCTTCAACATTACCAAGAACAACTAACTTTTTGCTGAAGAAAAGGCTTGTATATGGAGTCGTCTATAAGGTTTTCTAAAACCTACCCGGGACACACCTAGAGCTACAGTGGATTTACCCTGAAGAGCAAAGAGGCTGTTCTCATCCCCCTGGCTCCTTCATAGGTGCTGGTTTCTGCAAACGGCATCACCCTCTGCAGTGCATCACATCTATGTCTCAGGGATCTATGTGTCTCTGGTATGTCAGCAATAAAGGCTAGAAAGGTACCAAAAATTATTTTAACATTGCACATAAACAGTATATAGTATATATGTAAAATGAATGATGCTATAGAGAGAACTGATTTTCCCTGCAAAGAATGCAAAGGATTTCTATATTTTATCTCTTAAGCTTGTTACAGTGGCCATGCTGAGGGAAACAGAAATCAGTCATGACATGGCAGAGGATCAGTCCCAGCGGAAGTCAAGGAGCGATCGGAGAAGGCGAAGACTGGGAATAGACATGACCATTTCTCTGTTTCTTCCTTGCTGCTTTGTGTTGAGAGCACTGGTCTGAAGGTGCCCAGGGATATGAAGGGAGAATACGGTGGGAACCCCACCTGGGTTGGAGAACACAGATGACTGAGCCCCATGATCCTGCTCTATCTGGGGACACACTGCTTGGTAAGGAGTGCCCACAGGTGGGGGACACACACCCACACCAATAGCCTTAGCCTCCCTACTTGGCAATTCCCGTGAAGCTCTGAGCTTTTCACAGAGGCTTTGGAACTGTAGGGAGACACCATACGTGCAGAGTCCTGCTTTCCAGGAAAATGTGATCATCCTATCTTAAGTGTTCAAATCCTTTGTTTATAAATGGGAGACAGTTACCAAGAACACAGCTTCGGGTATCAAATGTGCTTCTCTCCTTCTGCACTCGGCAGCCTGTGCACTGCTGCCCGTGTAGCGGCATCGCAGTGTCCTGCCAAGGAACAAGGGTGCCGTGCACAGGTCGGTGAGCAGAGGCATTGATGCGAAGGCTGGTTTGTCAGGAGAGGTTTCCCCTCGGGGCTGTGAGGGAGGGATGCTTCCAGGAGCAACTGCTTCTCAGCGGTGGGACTTCTGAAGGAAGCTGTGAGGCAGATTTGGGTGGCCGGTGAGCAGCGTCACTATGGTGACACTGATCAGACAGCTTGATGTGAAGAAAGGAGGTTATTTTAAAGCAGCTCGCAAAGATGGGCTAGCAACTCATTTTCTCTCCTGTTCTTTCTGGCATGCACCTCCCACATGCTTTCTCTGCAGCTTGCATAACTCATGACTATATATATAAACATTTTGTACCTATTCCAGGCTAATACAGCCCATATTCCTCCCCTTAACCGTGATGAAGGTAGCACCCCAGAGTTGAGATTTGCCATTTCCTACCAAAAGTGATTTCACTACATTGACAATGCCAATTTGGCTTTGCAATACCCTCTTTTACTAAATGCATGTTTCTGAGACATTTCAAAAAGAAGTAGCTGTTGATTAAGCTCAATTCTTTCATTTTTCATTTGTATTTAATGTTTTAACTCCAGCTACAGGCAGGGTTATATTGTTCTTGGTGTTCTGTTAACATTAAAAATATATACACTCCAGCCCTATAGGCTTTGGATCCCTAGTGGAAATAGATGTAGGGCCTAGCTGTAGAAGCAATCCAAATATTGACATGAAAAAGAAACAGAAACAGGCAGAAGGAGAAAGGTTTCCATGTCTGGATCAGAAGGCTTCTGCCAGCACTTCCCTGTGTGAACTTTAGGCAGCAGCACTCTGCTTGTGAAACACCTTGACTCGGCAGTCCATAGCTCCTTCTTTTTCCACCAGCAAAGGTCCACAGGGGAGAGCTACATCTGCTCTTGGGGGACACTGTCAGCACTTCCCTCAGTAAAAGCAACTCGCTTACTTGTGTTAAATGGCAGCTGTGCTGCTTTTGTTGAAAACAACCTTGCTTCTTCATCTGAATAATCAGTTTTGGTAGAGTATTTCTGTGCCTGTAAAAAGTTGATTGCACAAATCCAGTATTTCTTGGTGCAAGTTTGCTTATTTACTAAGGATGTGCACATTCTTGTTTCTGTGAAAGCAATTAGAATGAGAAAGAAGATGTCTGGGTTTTCCACATTCAGTATCCCACTGATATCATCCTCAAAACTAAATCTATCTTTCATGGCTTTCTTCGAGTGCTATATTCACATGAAAGCTCTGGTCTTCTACAGGCT